CAGAGGACATGTCCGATCATGGAGCAGGGAGAGCAAGCCAAGGCAAGCATGGAGCAGAACCAAGTGTCCTCAGCTGCCTCCGTCCAGCCCAGCAGGAGGGGAGAGGAGAACCGGTGCAAGCGGTGCGTGGCCCTGATGCTTAGTGAGATGCAAGCAGCAACTTAAAGCCACTACAAAACAGGGAGCTGCACCAGCTGGCCCAGCTGCCAGCCACGCTGCCCAGGATAAAGGCACTCGCCCAGCTTCTGCTGAAACTGGCCCGAAGCTAAAGCAACAGTAGGAGGCCAAGCTCTTTTCTTGCCTTTGCTTTGATCAACCATGAGAGAGTTAGTATCGAAGCAGGATGGGATTTCTGAATGAGTATTCCCTGGCAGCGAACCGGGATTGTTTGGAGCCATTGTCTCGCAGCCCCAGATGCCTCCCTCGGCGTGCACCAGGGGAGGATCTGAAGCCACAGCTCTGATGCGATCCCCAGCGAAGACGCGTTCTCCTCCTATGGCCGGGACCGCATTTGGCATCTCCACAACCAGCGGGTGCAGCTGGAGAAAACTGAGGCAGGGAATTAGATCATCTGGGTTTGCCTCTGCCCGGGGAGCAGCTCGGCGGAGGCTGAGCCATCGCAGGTTCCCACAGTGCCGCTCCCGTCGCTGGCACAGCGCTTTCGCCGCGGCGCTCCCTGATAAGGAGGAGCGTGCGCCTGCCGGCACGCAGCCTGCCAGCTCGGCTCCACCACATCGCGGCTCTCATCGAACCGCTCAGCTGTCCCACTTGGGCACAGCTCCTGGCAAGGGGAGCACACCCCTGCCTGTCCCCCCAGAAGAGGGGATTTTGTGCGGCAGGTCGGGGGGAGGCTGTCCAGCACCTCTTTATACTGCAGGTCTCAAAACTCCAATCATTTCCCACAACTCAAGGGTGTAATAGGATTTTTTGAGGCCTTCTGCTTCCAGAGTCTGCAGCTCATTTTATTCGCACCTCTGTCATTCCATATAAGTGCACACAAATACAGGGGATTTCACACCTTCTGAAGCACAAGATGATAGCTATGTAGCAATGTGTAACCGACAAGCCAAAGCAAAGAGTAAGAAAACAGCTTTTGAAATCATGGAAGAGGTGGATAGAACAGATACTGCCCAAGCAGAGGTCTGTACCGACCCCATTTCATGTTCTGCGCAGCTTAAAAGCAGGCGCTTCGGGCAGCAGGCACAGAAGTAGGGTCAAGCTAGCGAGAAGATAGAGCCAAGGGGTCTGCGAGTCCTCCCCTCCCCACTCCATCTGCTGCTCCATTCATCCGCAGAGCACAAGGAATCAAGCAAATCTCTTGCTATAAACCAGATTTGCCTTTGTAAGCTTTGAAATAAACCCAAGGATTAAAGTCTAAGGACTTTTTTTTTTTTTTAAGTCAGCAACACATATGAAAGAGCCCATGGGTGCATGTGAAATCCAGAGCACAGCACAATGCAGGGGGAGGTTATTTATCCTGCAGCAGCAGCCAGAGGCCCCTGGAAGCGGCTGCATAAACACACGGCGCGAGCCTGTCCATGCACAGCTCCATTACTTTAAACACACCTGTACTGTCAGCCAGCAGACACGCTCACAGCGCGTGGGTACAGTCATAATCAGCAGAAAATTAGGAAGCAAGCAAAACCATGCTGGTAGAAGATACCTTTATACAAATATATCAGTAAAAGCCAAAATAAAACCTCAGCTTTTCTACTGTAGTAAAGCACAGGAGGCCTGAGCAAGGCTTGCAATGTAACCGGACAAGACAGGAGCAGGGAAAAGGGCTTGTTTCCCCCGTCCAGCAGAAGGATCACATTAAAAAGTACCTGGATGGTATCATCCAATCCTGAGTCAGTGGACAGTAATTGCAGCAAGAGGTCTTCTGTCCTCCAGCCTGCCAAGAATAGCACTAATAGCAGGCGCAGGTTAATTTGCCATTAGGGCTAACAGTGTTCGTTCAGTGCTGCTGATGACCTAACCTTGGCAAGCAGGTTCCCCTGGTCCCCCCTGCTCCGCAAGTGGCTAAAGTAAGTGGTGGCACCATTCTCCAAATTCAGATCCTCCATTTGTTCTTAATCATCCTGATTCTACAGGCTCCCTTCAACAACTTGGGGCCTTTGTCTTGTGTGTGTTCATATGGTCTGACATAGGGCCTGGTCTCTGAAATCAGATTGTCTTCCTTAAGCCCTTCCAATAAGAGATTTCCTGTGGAGCTCAAGGACCTCTAAGCGGGTTATGTGCCCATAATTCCTGGCCCTGTTACAAGAAGACTTCGGTCTTAAAAGACAGAGCATAAGACTTAATACATGCTTTCAAATTGCTTTGAGGAGTTACAGAGTAAACAAACAATTAGAAAATAAAATTCATTTTAAAAAGAGAAGTTAGAGCTGTTCTGGCTAGATTAGTTTCCGCCCTGTGTTTAGCTGGAAATGGCTGACAGCATTTAGATTTCAATTAAAAAAAAAAAACCACCAAAAAAAACCAACCAAAAAAACCTCTCCATAGCAATTGGCCAGACTAGATTTGTAACTGGTTTGACGGGAATTAGAAGTTCAGATAGGCTTTCAAATAGGCTTTCAAACACTCTGGCCCTGTTTATCCAAATGAGGTTCAAAACCAGTTGAGCTGGAAATCTTACAATAAAAGGGGAACATTTGGCTTTCAATCAAGGGTTCAAACTCAGCATGGACAGACCAAGCTGCTCACACAGAGTTATGCTTTTCAAGAGTCAGCAGCTCAGGGTGTTTAATGTACACCTAAAAGGCAACTGTTCCCACGCTACACTTTGACTTGTTATGTTTTTTGGGGGGTGACGACACCTTTTTTGTTCTGTTGGACAGTTCACAAGGCATGAGACACAAAAAATAATTTCAAGCTGTCCTCAAATACCATTAGAGTCAGCTGCCCATCAAACAGCCGCAGTGTGAACTCACACCCCCTGTTATCAGTGGTGAAATAGTTACACAGAATTAACACTAAAATCCTCCCGATTAGACACGTCCCACAGATTGCTAAATTAGCTGTCACTTCTCCTGGGTGGGTCCCTCCCAATTACCCTGGCATTTGAGAAGGATTTTAAGGTTATCTACATAGATTTGGGAAACCAAGGCCTGGCTTTCTTTACATTAAGGAAAAAAGATGTTAAAAACAAGTCTCTGGGAACAGTTCTGAAATGTAAAAATAATAGATGTATTGGGCCGCTTCAAATCTCATTATCTGGTTCTGCCGGAGAAGGCACAGACAATTGTGACGGCAGTGCCAGCAGCCACCTGGTTGCTAACACCAGTTAAGCAGAATCACTGGGAATTTAAGGGGAAAAAAGCCCAGCGGTAAGCTGGACTAGTATGTTTAATCACAGCTGTAATTGGTAACCTGGGTCTGACCCCAGAAACAGGCCTAGCAGGCAGGGTAAACAATAAAGCAAGAGTCTTAAGCCTAGCCTACACTTACAGCTAATAAGTCCTTTCAAAACACACAGTTGTGAAATAAGACTATGACTGAACCGTGTGAAATGCAACTGGAGAGGGGGGAGGACATGGACAGAAAACAAAGCCTTTTTAACCTGTTAGCTGCTAGATCAGCCCACGTTTTACAGCACATATCGATTCCTGGCACTCTAGACCACAGTCAGGATGCCCACGTAGCGTCTTCTAGGTGGGCCAGGCTCCTAGAAGCTTATCATCCCGCATGACTACATGGCCCTGGGCTTTGCTAAGCACCCCCCCACCTATTTTGATGCCTGAATGTCTTTTGTCAGCTTGGTCCTTTGTTTGGTCTGTGTTGCCTGTAACTTGATTCCCCACGTCAGCTCCCAGGGCCTTGGGATTTGTGACAGGACATGTCAGGACATATTTTGGGCATGTCCGGGCAGTTTCATGTGTAGACTATCAGGAACCTGTAAACATTCCCCTCTGCTTCTACGCGGATTTGTATGTGGACTGAGAGCTGGATGCTTTTGCCCACAGCGTTTGAACACAGTAGCTTTTGTAGCCCAAGCCCAGGGCTTCAGTGAGGGACCACATAGTTCCTAGCAGCCATCTTTCACAGAACAACCTCCCTCTGATCCACTTTCCTTACTGCATGCCAGGTTTCCTCATGGAAAACAACCTATCTGACCCACTGCGAATGTCACATCTGTTCAGAAGTATTTTAGGAAGCAAACATTGCTGTACTCAAGGGAGTCACAAGCAGAAATAATTGCTTTTTCTTCTAACTCCTTAGGACTTTGGACCTAGTTTTCCAACGGTGCTAGGCACTCGCTGGCTCTAGCTGCCTTCAGTGCACTTTGGGGTTTTCTCCTTGGCCTTACTAGCTTCTTGCTGAACTCATGTTGACAGCATCTTGTGTAAGAAGACATTTGTTCAAAGCTCAATATTGTCGTCCGGGGACGAAGCCCCAGACTACAGTTCCTCATGAAGCTGCCTCATTGGGGAAGGTGTATAGATGACCTCACGCTGATTTCAGAGATGGTTTCCTGTTCTTTGCAGTTGGTTATCGTTTTTTTCCACATCCTCTCTGCAGGATGGAACTGCCTCCGCCTACCTCTGTTCCTGTCGAACAAAGCTTGAGAGGGTAGAAAGGGGACAATAGAAAAGGTCCAGCAGAGCGCTCACCAAGGCAGCAGACCCAGAGCAGCATGGGGATGGACATGTTTGCACAGTCAGGTCCAGAGAAAGTTGTCAGCTGTAAAGCCTCGAACAGGCTTGTTAGTTCACGAGGTAAAAATAGTCCAGAGCCCCAACTCTATCTCAGAAATGGAGCAAGGAGCAGTAGGACTCCGGGAATTAGGCATTGCAGTAAGACGTGCCCCTGGACAGCCCCTTGTCCGGCTCCACCCCTTCTGCCCTTCGCCAGCCCTTGGCGATGACATCTTCCCCCGGTCCTCGCCTCTAGCACAAGGTAAACAGCGCGTGAGACACAGATGTGCACAGAGGCAAACTGCCCCTTGGTAATTCTGCCTTATCACAGCACCCTGGGGTGTGTCTGCCCACCCGGGCTCTGCTCTTTGCCCCTCTAGAAAGTCCCAGAAAAAATACTGGCTCCAGTCAAGACGTGATTTCCCTCCCCACAACTGGGAACAAGTAAACTCTGGTGACAAACCCACCAATAACACAGGACACCG